TAACGCTATTCGGTTTTCCGAAATCTCCGTAATATTTGTGACGCTGTGCGTCACAAATTTGTGTATTTAGTCAGGCGCTGTGCACAATTTTAGAGGGCATAAGTGGGCGTGCTATGTGCGCAAACTAGTAAACTAACTAGTGCCCGATTCCGAAAATTGGAACCACGAAAAACAATAAAAGAAAAACAAAGTTTAGTAACAATTTAAAAAAAAAAAAAGAAAAAATATACTCGTAATCTTCTAAGAATAGAAGCCAGCGAGGGATGGAGCATATCAAAAATCTAGGTACACCGCGATGGCCCTCAAATATGGCCGACTGAAATTCCGGTTTATCAGTTTATCAGTGTCGTTCTAATTTTATTTAAAAAATGTAAAACTATGAGATGTAGCGTGATACGGTGAGTAGACTCCAATAATTGTGTTGTTTTTTATATTTATACGTTGTGGAATAAATTTAGTAGTTATAAATGATTTGAGTTATAAAAATATTATTTTTATTAATAATTATGAAATTAAATATCTTCTTTGACAGGCATTGTTTTTATGTTAAAAATATATAAGTTGCTACTGAAGCAGGTAAGTCAATGACATTTAATCTTTGACAAATAAACAAAAATAAAAAAAAAAAAAAAAAAAAAAAAAAAATGGCAAGAAAAAATATGATATAATTTTGTATATTATAAGTTGTATAGTTTTCCATTAAATTGATCGGTTGGTTACACGTTATGGATTATATATAATGAGTCACTTACGTAGCGAAATAGTTGTTCCCATTTATTCTACTTGAATTTTTGTCCGAGATCTACCGCACGCCACACAACCAACTATTTTAGAGTTTTTTTTCGATAAATCGCGATAGTGTCACTGTTTTTTTTTTTTCTTGTTTAAATTTAATTTCCATCTAGATTTACTACCTTTATACAACTGTCAGTAAGTAGAATAATAATAACATAAAATAAGCTCCTAAAGACTGACTGGCAAATCCAAAAATTCAAATCAAATCAAATCAAATGTGTCAAATGAATCAAAATGAATCGTCAAACAGAAATGTCAAGGATCCCACCCTAGAGTACTTTTTCTCGCCCACCATGCATGAATACATGAATAGCATTTATGCTCCTTCCTTAGTCTTCTAATTCAAAGCTCTCTAATAAACAATTAACTATTAATGAATACTGTCATTTCCATTAAAGTTTCCCAGCCATGAAATACATAAAATTTTAAAAAATTCTTAAATATTTTCTTCCAGTATTCATACATCATTCAGCATACCGCTTCAAGGAAGACACCCTAGCAGTCCAGCAGTGAGGAATCTATGGCGAGCCAACGGGCTGAAACCTCGCAAAGAAAGACGATGAAAGGATACCGGCAGTGTCCTAGCGAAACAAAAGCGACGACCCGCTGTATTGAACAATCAAAACGAAGGAGAGCAATTCGGAAACAGTTTCCTGCGATGGCGATCAAGAAATGTCAAAGTCTGAAAACGGCACGTGTGAAAAATCGTCAGATAGTACCAAAGAATCAACGGCTGAAACGACAGACGCTATCATCAGGAATAGCAATGACATAGCTGTAGTACTGGAGCCGTTGAATCTGCAAGAACTGGCGGTTAAACAGACGGCGAAGCGCAGGCGCAAATCGAATAGCAAGCAAAAAGACGAGGTGAACGGTGATGGATCGGAGCCGCAGAAGAAGCGAAGAAAGGGGAAAGTCGCGAAAAATAATCATGACGGAAATAAGGCCGGTGGAAGTATGCAGGATGGTGGACCAATGGATGAAGACATGGACATGGACGACGATTTTGATCCCTCTTTGTTGTGTCCGGATATATCGATGGATGTGGATTGAGGCTTGGTCATACTAATACAGGTCGTTGGGTCTGTATTTGGTTAGTTTTTATTTATAGCGGTCAGTAAGCGAGGGTTTTAGGGTCCGAATTCTGAACAACTGCACCGATTGTCGTGAAATTTTAACAGTCAATAGGGATATATGTAAGAAACAAATATTACTTAGTAGCGATGTGTGCTCTTATCCAGAAGGCTGGGGTGTGAGATGGCCACCCTTCATCGCCAGAGGGGTAAAAAGGAATCAAGGTAAGGTAAGGCCATTGCTAGGCTAGTTAATTGCAAAGTGCAATAAAAATCAGATAAAGGCGATACATTTAATCAAAAAGATGTTTCTTCATAGCACCATTTTTTTAGAAATAGATATTTACGATCGGAGTTATTTAGTGAATTGAAAGATGTTGATGGTTTTTTACCCTAAAAGGACTAGTGATGACGGCGACGCTGGTCTTTTGGAACAGTATTGTTATTGATTCGAAACAGGTTTGTTTGTGGAACTGGGCGTGTGGAGACAGGTTTAATGTTGGGGTAAGGTGGGGTGTCGTCTGTGAGTTGGGGGATGGTGTAATGCTCGATAGTTTCCAGGTCCAGTTTTATGCGTGGTCCAGCTTGGTTGTTGTCTGAAAACATGCTGGCTACAGCGTGTAAATTGTAAATAGCGTATAAATAAGATATAATTGTTGGAAATTGTTTAAATTAATGTTATTAAAATTGTGATACTAGATTCTTAATAGTGTATTATTCGAGAGGAAATTAGATAATTAATCTATGGATAGGGGTTGCGATTTGGGCTATATCTGATCGCCCAGTAGATTTTTTTTGATGATGGTAAAAAGTTCTTCGTCGGTGAGCGATTTACGGGCCCGTCGAATAGTCGGGAGTGTGTAGAGACGATTAAAAAAACTCGCCGTAGAAAATAGTATACCTACATACCCAGACAAAGGACAAGCCCGCTTGTTTTTTAATTATCTAGAATGTAGTGTTTTTATGTTTAATATTAAAGAGGGTACTCTATTACTCTCTTTTATTAGCATAATAATCATAACATATGAGCTGCTATTGTTATTGTATAGACCTGGTATTAGTTATCATTCTTTCCTACTTTGGTAGTCTTATAAACTGCAGATAGAGGGTCTGAAATTCCTATTTAAAATTTATAATAAAATTTAGTTGAATTTTTAATTAAATAATAATACTCGCAACCGTGCGAAAACCGTCACCTTGTTTTTTAGCGCTCCATGCACTATATTGAGAGGCAACCATGCAGCTTATCTCCAAAGACGGAATTCGGAGGCTTCTCGATCACACTGTCTATGTGTTGGCCAAGTGGCGGATGGCCGTGCGACAAGCGATATACTACCTCGTTTCTAAACTGAAACTAGTTCTTTTACTTAACTGTTCCAAGTCCCAAACTGTTCAAGTCTCTGAGGCCTCCTCTGTTCCAAGCCCTAAACTGTTTCAAGTTCCAACCTGAACAGTGGGACTTGGAACAGTTTTTGAGATTTGGAACATATTGCGACCACTGGAACATGTTTATGGCTTGATTATCTAGGTTGTTATGCGCTTTGGAACAGTTAAGCTGGGGGACAGGGCATGTGTCATGCTGTTTGACGACTTGGAACAGTTTGCCGACCTGGAAAGTTTTTTTGCAGGCGCCTAGGTCGTATAATTGTAACAAGCCGAGGACGACCATGTGGAGAACTGTTCGGTGCAGACAGTATTAAGTATATATGACAACTGGTTTGAGTTGATAATCGAGGTCGTATATCGGTTTTGCTAGTCTAGACAAGTCTTTTGGACGCGACCGTTCAGGTTTTATCTGTTATCGGGATACAGGGGCGTAAAAAACAAGTGTGGCTGTTGCCGTTATTTAAAATATTTAATTAAAACTCAACTAAACTCTTATTATAAATTTTAAATGTATAATTTTTTTTAAATATTTTATTTTTTTAATGTAAACAGAAAGAGAATAGGTAAGGAACATTTTTTATTATAAAAAAAAATGCTGGCGATGTTACCAAATGCAATATAATTATCGCATTATAGTTTTTTTTTGAAAAATACAGTGTAAGAACAGTCGTAAGTCGGTTATTGTTTTTTATTATAAATATAGGAGATATTAAAAAAAATTAACTCTTCCAAGAATTTACTTTTTAAGTATATCACAAAATTTTAAATCTATATTTATTCATTAGTGCTTATACAGGGTGGGTCTTAAATAAGTGCACATATTTTTAGGGGTTGTATATTTCGATTCTCATGAGTTTTTTTCGGGAACACATGTTTTTGAAAAGTTTATATTTTTCGAAAATTTGATAGTTTTATTTTAATTTTTAGTTAAAAAACATTATATCTTGATAATATAGCAACATAGATAGTAGATTAAATTTAGGGAAAACAGAAAAATCCCCAGTAGTTCTCATTATTTAAGCAAAAAATATTCTTTTATATAAATTAAAAAGAAAAATAGCAACCGAATCAGAATGACGCAAGTACGGTATTAATTTTCGTTTTGGAACAGTTTGGAACTGGAACAGGTTTCTTGGAACAGGTATCTTTTGCAACTGGAACAGCTTGTACCTGTTATTAAAAAATCGCCGTTCCGGCCATGACTACTAAAGACTGCATATTTTTCTGCCATTTATGGTAAAAAATATGTAAAAAAATGTTATAGAACATTTGTTTACTTAGAATTCATCTTTTTTTGATTTTTGCAATTAAAATGAGTGACTTATTTTTCACTCCCGAGAAGGGCTGGCACTCACCCCGAGGGTGAAAGCACACATCGCTACTATGTAACTTTTGTTTCTTACGTATATCTCTATTCACTGTTAAAATTTCACGTCAATCGGTGCGGGTGTCAAGAATTCGGAGGTAATACCCTATTTTTCTCCTCGCTTACTGGCCTATTAGTAAAAAATTATTTTAAGTTCGTCTAACGTTTCTCTTTTGCTGACAATTATATCCCTTTATCACGTAAATGAGAGTGTACAACATACTAAGGACTGGCAAAGGTTGTCTTGGGTCGAGATTACCTTATGTAAGAAGAGCACAATGCGTTTAATGTACTAAAAAAAGAGAGAACAGGGTAAAAACGTTGCCAAACGTATGAAATAAACCGAGAAATTGTGCATATTGTAAAGAGACATGGAAGGGGATATAGCAGATTCGTCGCGGTCGACCCAATCAGTAAATTCGGCCAGCGAAGGCATATCGAAGGCGGTGTGGATCTGAAAGCGACAGTGTTGCCATATTAAAATGTATAATATCTGTAATACGTTTCGAAAATATCTTTGGATGAAAAATCTGTGTTTGTGTATTGAAAATTTATTGGTGTTAAACATAGAATAAACAACAAAATACAAATTCAACTTTTACCTGTAAAATGTAATTCCAGTCATTTTTTTCTCGCTTCCGCCTTTGCAGCCATACGCTGAACATCTCACCATACTAAACAACACAGTTTATAAATTTAAAACAAAAGAGTATTCACAAAAAACATAAAAATTCGCTTGGTGTCACCTCGAAATCTTGTCACCAAAGTATGGCCGCCGATCAAATTTTGGCCTCGAAAATTTTTCGCTGGAGAATATGCGTGTTAGCTGTCCCCTCCCTTTCCTTGTCTAAGGTGTAATACCTGTAATACGTTTGACGAAACTATCTTTGGATGAAAAATCCGCGTTTATATATTGAAAATGTATTCGTGTTCAACATAGAATAAACAACAAGAGTAAAAATTTCTTTTATAGGTACTGAATATGTCGTATGATCGAAAAAAGTAGTTTGTTGGCTTGAAAATAACGATTATTGGCATTTGCCATCATATTTTATATATAAAATAGCAGCGATCTTTATTTCCAAGCCAACTCTAGCGCCGTTCTTTGTTTAATCACATAATATTATATGAAATTGTTTAATGATAGAAAATCCGCATTCTTAACTTACTGTACCAAAAATCCGTAAATCTACGGATTAATCAGTAGTTCTGGCAACACTGTCTCCGGCATCCACTCACTCTGTCGACTGAAAGCAAAACTACGGTCCAGTATTCTTTATTCGCTGCGCACAGTATTCTTTATCCTCTGCGCTGTAAACGACCATCAGCGCGCAGCGGCGCAGAGCTAAACTAAATCTTGTAATTCTCGGACAAGCTGACTGTAACACCAGCTCGAACAGGTTTATCTCGAACAGGTTTTGTGCCACGAAATCGCCCATAAGGTTGCGCATCTTCATATTTCCTCAATCAACTGTGTTACTTTGGTTGGGTTGACTGTTTTCCATTTGTATAATGGACATTACACGAAACTACATTAATGGCCATTATATTTTCCATTGGACATTCATGTATACTAATATTTTTTTTTTCTATAGCGGAATCTACACCTAACGACGGCAGTACTAGTCCATTGCCATATGAACCAACCTTTTCTGAGTTGGTGGATGAAATAACGGGAGCAGAAGGTAACAACATCTTCAAATTTCTTTTTTTTTTATTAAAAAACGATTATTTGTGCTTTTATTCTAGTTCAAATTGATTTAACGCCAGAAGAAGAGGAGATACGACAAAAAATATTTAACCCAGGTAAGTTGAATATTCATAGCTATTATAATAAATATATATAAATCAGTTGGAGTTGGCGAGTCATCATCTCGAGGGAGGAGGGTCATGGTCAGGTCCTCACAATAGGAATTGACTTCAAATCCAAGGAGGCAATAGAGAAAGAGGGTCATATCCTCTATTATAGATACGGGACTACACCGGTATCAGGTCTAAGGAGAGACCAAGTTAAAGGGGTGGAGAAAATGGAGATAGATCCTCCAGCCTCCACCTCGAGGGTTCCTCGGCCGGAGGCAAACTCCTCGACTGTGAGGCACGGAGGGCCAAACTCCAACCGTGGAAGGGTGTGTATGTTTTTTCCCTCGGAGGAGAAACTGTTGTCAGAGGAGGATGGGAAATAAATCATACCCCTGTCCCCTCTACAACAGGGGTATGATGGGTTATAGATTGTGTGATGACTCAAGGAAGGGGAGCACAATAGATCTCTTTAAGGTCGCATGACTCAAACTCTCATTTATAACTATTTTTTTTAATTGAGTAAATAACAACTAATTGCGTAAATTCGCTTTATAGAAAATTCAGTGCAGTACACGAGAATCCATTGTACAGCGTGCAACGTGCACTTAGGCAGTGCCTTATTCGGAGCCAACAACCGATTCGTTCATCCCCTGTTGAAAGTGTTGATATGCAAAAATTGCTATCACTTTTACACAAGTGGTGAGTTTGAAAAGGATGAAGATGGCAGCGAATTGTATTGTAGGTAAGAACAGTCTTACTTAATATTATTTCTATTGATTTTTGATTGATATAGTTGTCTTATCATTACAAAAACAAAAAATCCTATATGGGTATTTCGCCACTGCAAGAAAATCTACAAAATAAAATAGTTATTTTTTGTAAACACTTCTGGCGTTAATCCCAAACGGAAACTACTTGTCAGAAGTTAGGTTTCCAGATATACAAATTTGCCAACTAACAAAAAAATGCTTAACGTTTCGGAAAGTTTGTCTCTTTCCGTCGTCGGAAGCAAAAAAATACAAAGAATAAATAAAAAAGTACATTGGTGAAACACCTAGACCCTTAAATGTTCGAATTAAAGAACATAAAGATTATTTAAGAAAGGGAGATTTTCACAAATCTAAGATTTGTCAACATTCATGGGACACAGGGCACAGAATAAATTTTAATAACGCCAAAATTATAATGAAAGAAGCGATTGCATCTAAAAGAAAAATAAAAGAGGTTTTTTTAATACAATCTAATAAAATAAATGTATTGCTCATGCATCTGTAGATGTTAGTAATGTATGGCAATCGCTTCTTTGATTTTAAAGAACATAACATAAATAAACGTAACATACGTAAAATTAAAAATAATTTGAAAAAGAAAAAAAAACAAATAAGAAAGTTTGGGGCTTTTGGTTACCTTATTAAATAATAATTGTTATCAGGTAGTAATTGTTAATTTTGAAGATTAACTTGGATATAATGTCATTTTAATAGAACGTCAGTGGTTTTGCAGCCTTATCTGTTTTAAAAACTAAAGTGTTCTTGAATAGTTGAATTTAAATATTTTAAATAGTTTTTTTTCTTTATTCTTTGTATTTTTTGCTTCCGACGACGGAAAGAGATAAACTTTCCGAAACGTTAAGCATTTTTGTTAGTTAGGCAAATTTGTATATCTGTAAACCTAACTTCTGACAAGTAGTTTCCGTCTACAAAAAATAACTATTTTATTTTGTAGATTTTCTTGCAGTGGTGAAATATCCATATAGGATTTTTGGAGAGATGAATCCGCCACACAAGTATAGACATTTTTTATTACAAAAACAGTCTAACAGAAAAACACATTGGAACTAAAGGAACCTAAAATACATTAAAATAATTATCAATTGAAGTATGTGCAAATATTTCTTCTCTGTTACAGATGGTGTGGACAAGGCGGTCAAGTACTGTGCTGTTCATCTTGTGAATTTGTTTTCTGCAAGGTATTTTTGTATTCTATTTTATGCAGCTGGTTTTCTATGATTTCTTGTTTTAACAGAGGTGCATTAGAAACAATTTTGGCCCAAGGAAATTTAAAGAAATCCGGGACAGTGACGATTGGAATTGCTTCAGGTGTGATTCTAAGCAACTCGGCTATTTGAAAGCATCGTGCGCGGAATTCATGAATTATTATCGAACTGAATTGAGGTAAGTACTACTTAAGAGTAAATGTTTCTCGATTTTGCTATATTGAAAATCACGAAATTGCGTGTCAAAAATTTTCGCTTCTAAAAATACGAAATGTACGACCTGACTTGTGGGTCTGGCGGGGCTTTGATGAGTAATGATGATAATTGTAAAGACAACCAGACGAGTATTTTCTATGAAATTATAGTATTATACCGGGTGCGTCTCAACTAACCTAACCCCTATAACTTATTTATTTTTTCAGGTAAAAAAACGAGATTTGGTATGTTAGTATACATAAATTAGGATTGATTGACGTATTCAGTTGTTTTCGGTCACTTCCTGTTTCACCTGAAATGACTGCAACTTTTGATTTTTAAATGGCATCCTCGGTTTTTTTTGCTTTATTCGATAGAAAATAAGTTTCTGAATATAATGACATATAATATGTCAACTTTTGACATTCTGGCATATGGTTTATTTGAAATTATAACTTGCGGCTCGTAACGAAAATTTGACTCGAAATACCAAGTGTGTGGCATCAAATTATTCGTAAAAAAATGCTTTTTTCAAATATACATTTGAAAAAATTGAGATATGATTAAAAAATACGATTTGAGCATTTTCTAACTGGCCAGGACAGGACACTAAAAACATTATACAATTAAATCTATTTTTCCAAGGCTCCTTGATTAAGAATTAGTGTTTTAACATAGCTATGGCACTCTAGATTGAATTTTAAAATAGGATTTTTTATTAAGCGAGAATGTCAAAAGTTAACATATGATATGTCATTCTATTTAGAATGTCATTTTCTATCGGATAAGGTAAAAAAATACCGAGGGTGCCATTTAAAAATCAAAAGTTGTAGTCATTTCCGGTGAAACAGGAAGTGACCAAAAACAATTGAATACGTGAAAACAATCCTAATTTATGTCATATACTAACATACCAAATCTCGTTTTTTTATCTGAAAAAATAAAAAAGGTATATGTTATTATACACAAATTGTCATTTAATGTTATATTCACTCACTGAGAAAATAAATACAAAAAAATGTCATTGCCTTCTGGAGTACTAAAATCGGTCCAGCCGTTCTTGAGTAGTTATAAATGGTATAACTAATCCTTTGACGTTGTTTTGTTTATTTAATATAAATGTTACAGTGAAAGTCGAAAATTCAGTGACTGTTATCATTCACTAGGAAATGCTAGCCATTACTCATTGGGCCAGTGAATGTGGTATTTTAAAGAGATTTGTCGACTTTTTCTAGTAATTTCTAACATTCACTAGTGAAAGTAACATTTACTAAAGGTTGCCAGTGAAAGTTATTCTATTGTACAGGGTGAGTGTGGTGAGGAATAATGTTGGTTGAAGTTAGAACAAATAAAACTTTTAAGAATATTGGATCACCCCAATATTCAAGCTGACTGAATATCTTAAAACTACAATTTACTTCTTTAGTATATTTATTAAAAATTATAGAAAATAACGACATAACCTTCTAAATATTAAAAGAGAAAGCAGAGTAAACATTTTAAAGCCTACAAAACAATTAAAAAAAAACATTCATAAACATAAGATTACTTATTGGTACTAGGTTTTTTTTAATAAAGTTCTTCATCGTGGAGAAAATAAAGTATGCCCGAATTTTCTTCAACGGGAGTTATTTGTTTTTTTTTTCAGACCCGCTACTTCAAAACGTTTAATAAATTCATAATCACTAGGTTCCTTAATATCTTTTTCTCTTTTATGTTTAGCTTTTGCATTCTTGCGAGTTTACCTTAATTTTTTACAGAAAATTTCTTCCCAAAGGGAAAATACCGCGCAGCACTTTTTACAGCGATAACAAAACAATTATACATAACCACAAAAAACAAAGCGAATTTACGCTAGATGTCTATCAACGTTGCCAACGTTTAGCCCGATTTAATTTTATCCTTATATTGCCTATTATTCAACTTATCCTTATTTATCCTTATATTTTACATGTGGCAACCGCGCTTACTGAATCTTTCAAACTCACTGCTATCGTCCAGGGAATGCTAGCATTCGCTGGTAAAAGTTGGTTTCAAAAATAGCTGTTTTGGTTTGGTTTGGTGTCAGATCAGTGAATGTGAGCTTTCGCTAGTAACTGTTAACAATCACTGATTTCCAACTTTTGCTGTAATAGATATACAAAATTATTTCTGTCTGTGCAGACGAGTTCAAGTTCTAGCCGAACAGCACCCAGAATTGATGACCACAGATTACACGAAATGTTGTTCCAACGATGAGAACAAACCGGAAGAGTCATCGGAGAAAGCTCAACAGGCGGCCAAAACGGTTCGTCGGAAAAGAAAAGACTCCAGCGATGATCCTGATTACAAACCTGTCTTGGACGATGGAGGGGACCCTTTTACAAGGGTAAGTACAACGGCTCCTTACATTTTGACAAACGGAGGTATTCAACGCTGAATACATCGTAGTTTTGTTATTAAATAATTATATAAAGCTTCATTGAGAACCTCGCAATTAGTGGAATAAATTCAGAGACAGAGGCGAACAGTGGAAACATCCGCGAACATCTCGCTCCGATTGTTTGCCGTGTTTTCGTGTTTCACGTGTTCGTTCGGCCTGCTCGCTAGCAATGTGGACGCAGCTTTAGACTGTTGAGGGATTCCTAAATCAGGTTACGAATGGAGTCTTCCAGGTTCTTCAGTTCTGCTTTAAGTTGGTTTACGCTTGGGAAGCAGAACAGTTCTGGTCCAGTTAGAGGAGTGTTCACTCTTTTTCCAGCTAGATCATTTGCTTTTTCATTACCTTCTATCCCTTGGTGGTCTGGCACACAGAGTACGACTTTATTTTCTGTGCTAAAATGGTTCGGCTTCTCTAGGCATTTGCAACCAATTTCGAATTGATAGTTATGGAGGTGATCTTTAAAGGCTGCTTGGCTATCGGATAAGGTGGCTATTTCTTTTTACCAATAGTTCCTATCTAAGATAAGTTGTGCGCATCGTGCGCAAATACTCCTATTCCTGTTCCTGCTTTGGTTGTTTTGGTTATGGACAACATATTTTTGTAACAATTTTAGAAGTTTAAAACTATCAAACTAAAAAAATTAACCGAAAACCAACAAAACAGAAAATAGATAAATAAAAAGTATATAATAACATAAGATCGAATTGTGGCGGTATTGGACTTTGCCATCTCATTTTATTATTCTTTATTATCTTATTTTGTTTCAGAAATCTGTTCCTGCAGTGCTCATACCATCTACAGTAAACAAGCAAGTTCCAGCGCCGCTAAGGCCGCTTCTACCAAAGGGAGGTGTCGCTCCAGTGCCAACTACCGGAATACGACAAATACTTTTGCAAAAACCGACCGCCGGGGTATGTAAGACCCAAATGTATTATAAGAACATATTTCTCCAAAAAAATCTTTTATTGGTATTTCGCCACTGCACTGCAAGAAAATTTACAAAAAAAAGTTATTTTTTGTAAACACTTCTGGCGTTAAACCTAAACGGACACTGCTTGTCAGAAGTTATGTTTACAGTTATACAAATTTGCCTAACAAAGAAAAAAAGTCTTAACGTTTCGGAAAGTTTATTTCTTTCCGTCGTCGGAAGCAAAAAAAATACAAAGAATAAAGAAAAAAAACTATTTTAAATATTTAAATTCAACTATTCGAAAACACTTTACTTTTTTAAAACAGATACGTCTACAAGAAACCGTTGACGTTCTGTTAAAATGACATTATACCAAGTTAAACTTCAAAATTAACAATTACTACCTGATAACAATTGCTTAATAAGGTAAAACCAAAAGCCCCAAACTTTCTGTATGATTATTTTTAAATTGTACGTATGTTGTGTTTATTTATGTTATGTTCTTTAAAATCAAAGAAGCGATTGCCATACATTACTAACATCTACAGATGCATTAGCAATACATTTATTTTTATTAAATTGAATTAAAAAAGCCTCTTTTATTTTTCTTTTAGAGGCTATCGCTTCTTTCATTATAATTTTGGCGTTATTAAAAATTTTTCTGTGCCCTGTGTCCCATGAATGCTGACAAATCTTAGATTTGTGAAAATCTCCCTTTCTTAAATAATCTTTATGTTCTTTAATTCTAACATTTAAGGGTCTAGATGTTACCCATAAAGGATTGTTTTGGAGAGATGAATACGCTACATAGGTATAGACATTCTAGTACCGCGCATTTACACAATGAGTGGAAAGTGAAGCCAAAGAAAATAAATAGGAATGTCAATTGCATAAGCCTATCCTTTTCGTCCAACAGGATTTTCGTGCGCACGCGCCAAATAAAATTATCTGATTCGTCTACTTCATCCCGAACGCTGTCACCTGCCCGCGCACTATTTTAAACTCTAAATATTAATAACGTATAATATATTTTTTTTGGTAATGGCATTATTTCAACCAAGTTATTTTAGATATTCATCATATCTATCTGTTTCTTGTTTTTGTTTAAATATGTCAGAGATTAAATTTAAATTTATAAGTAAAGGCGTGAATAGTCAGACACCAAGTTGATTTACGTGGTAGATAGAAACTTAGAAATCTACTTCTGTTGGTTAGTATGAACTAAATCAACTAATCGAGAAGCATTCACGCTTGCGTAGTTTAAAGCTGTTCAACGAAAAGGACCGACTTATGTGAATTTTGTGGTTCATCTCAAAAATATGGTAAGACGTCATCAAAAACACAACAATGTTTGTTTAGTGTAATTTATAGTAAAAGTCTAGTAAAATCTAGTTTTTTTACATTTGTTTTAATGGCAATTATTGAGAGGCTTAGGATTATTGAAGTGATGAGATATTTTTATATCGTTTTACTGCTATTACAATTTTATATATTACACAATTGTCTCTTTTTCAGGGTCCTCCAAGGCCAATGTTTAAAGTTGGCAACACAACATTTAGGGCAAAACCAGGCGTTCCTACAAGTTACACGATACAGCGGCCAACTTTAGGTAAGTTGTTTATTTTAGTGTATTTTTGCTGATTTTTTCGTTTTTTTTTTTATTTTTTTTTCTAATTTATTTCTAATTTCTTTTATTACTTTTAGTTTATTTTGAGCTTCATATTTTTTATTATTAATTTTAATAATACCTATTGAAATAAAAAGTAAATAAGTAACTTGAGATTATTAAAATATTTGTTTTGATTTTATTATTTTATCCTTAATTAATTTATTTTACATGAAAAATAATAGTAATCATAGTTACAATATCATTTCGATTTTTATTTGTGCTTTTTATATGTATTATCATTAAATATTTCTATAAAACAATTTTGCATAAAATTATGTATATTATTTATAACTATGCAAAATATTAGAATATTAGAATTTTATTATGTTTTTCTCTATAGGCAAAACTACAGGTTTCTTTTAAAACTGAATGATCCCATGAGTTTTCTAAACGGTCTTCCCTCTTAATGGGCTCTTTCACAAAAAATAAAATACACAATTCAAGGACAAAATCTAAAATAGAAGACTATTTTCAGTATATTTATCCAAAAAAAAAAATACTTCCATGACATTTGAATAATTTTTTTTATAGACCCTCAAAATTTCTTTAATTTGGAATAATTTTAAGGTGCCAATTGATGACGTGTGAAAAATACACCCAATCACATTGCAGAACCGTGCTCCTGCGCCAGCCAACAACTGGCGACATTGCGATTTGATTTGACGTGCATGTTGAATAATAAATTTGGTTAAATTTTTTGTTTACTCCGTTTGTGAAAGTTTGTAATCAAGTTTAAGTTTTAAATTGTTATTTTTGTTAATTTGTTCCATCATGGTCGTACCATAACCTGGATTCGAAAAGGCGTCATCTGATAAATCCGAAATGGTTAAATTTTAAATGGGTCAGCATAGTCAGCATGGTGGCCCGGCAGTGTTGCCGCTTTTCAACATACCAGGTGTGACGTATTAAAGAAATAAAGTGCAGTTTTTATTCTGGGCTTTTCTTGTTTTATTTATTTTCTTAGGAACGACTTCAAATTTTTCGAAAGTGAGATAGCAGAAAATTCTAGAATTGATTGCTTTATTCAATTATGCGAATTTCAAAATATGAGTGAAAGAGCCCATTCAGCTCAAGTAAAATGATCTGTTTGTTTTTTGTCTACACCCAACGTTTTACTTGGTACGTTTGACTGAACAGGTGGGAACGTTACGTGTAGAGGGGGCTTTACTGATTATTGTTGAATCATTTAAACGTTCAATGAAGCCACTAATGTTTGTTTTGTGTTAATTTTTTTATATTTTATATTTGTTTTATTTTGTTTATGATTTATTTTTAGTGGGTCAAACTCCCAGTATTATAAAGTTCATTTAACGACCTCAAGGACCACTTAATTATTAGGCCACCACGTGGGTTTGCCAGGTTTGTGCTGTATGTGCTGATATACATTCGATACCAAATAATCTTTTAGTCACGTCATCCGGGCGAGATATTAAATTCATTGTTGCCTTAACCATTATGGGCGTGTTCGGCGTCGGGCTGATAACTGAATATAAATTAAAAGTTAAATTTCCCGCTGGAGATTCAGGTGGTAGCCTCTGCTGTAAAAGATGTCAATTTGTCACATTTATTTATTTATTTCCCGACATTTTGATTCGTTTTGACAATTTAGTTTTAATATTACGAGTTTTTGGTTTAAATAAATAAAGTGTTGTGATTCTTTTACTTACGTTGCAATGTTTACTAGCATACCTTGCAGTCCGGACGTTGTTCTGTTTAGAACCTCTTTTAATGCAAGGAAATATGCAGATGGCTTAATAACCGTAAAACTCATCATCGCAACTTTATTAGATTATTTTGAACGGGAGAGCAGGTAATATTGCTTTTTTATGTGTATAAGTGCTGTTAAGGAGGGTGAGATTTGTTGATGTAAAGTAGCAACTGTTTATATATTTATAATTAATTCATTTTTGTTTCTAAAATATTTCGATTAAAGAAAATAGAAGTAAAAGTCCGGCAACGCTTCTGAAATTGCCCGAATAAGCTTAATCAGGGACTACAAAGAGTTTACATTTTGTGTTATGATCTTTTGAATAAAGAAGACTAAGGAAAGAGCATATCAAAATCGCAGGTCCACGATGGGACTCAAATATAGCCGACTTAAATTCCGGTTTATCAGTGCCGTTCTAATTTTATTTCAAAAATGTAAAACTATGATGTGGGGTGGGCGATGGGGTAGACTCCAATATTTTTTTATTTTACGTTGTGAATAAATGTTGGTAGTTATTTAAAATTGATATAAAAATATAAAAGATTCTAATAAAAATAGATAAGTTATAATAGTATTTATAACCATAAACATCCGATACCTTTACTGAAGCAGGTAAGGTCAAATTGACGTATCTAAATTCTTTGACATCCTAATCTTTGACAAGAGTAGTAAATAAAACCAAAATGCAAAGGAAAAATATATAATTGGTTGATTACAGAAATTGAATTTCATAAATGATCGGTTTTACTACACGTATGTATATTATATATAGTCACTTACTAGCGAAAAGTTGTTCATTATTTCCACTCAAAATTTTGCCGAGATCTACCACTTACGCTACACAACCAACTAATTTAGAGTCTTTTTCGATAAATCACGATAATGTCACTGTTAATTTAAAGTTCTGCCATAATTTCCATCTAGATTTACTACCACCTTTATACAACTATCAGTAGTAGAATAAATAATAAATAACATAAAATAAGCCGTAGGGCGAACAAAATCCACAAAATTTTCAAAATCAATTCAAAATGTGTGTCAAATGAATCGTCCAAACAGAACTGTCAAGGGATCCCCACCCTAGAGTCCCTTTTTCGCCCACCATGCATAAATACATGGATAGCATTATGCTCCTTCCTTAGTCTTCTTATTCAAGGGGTATGATCTATATGTGTAAAAACTCATTGGTCTACATTATTCAATATAAAGGAGGTGTTTAAAACTTGTTTGTTAAAAATAAAAGGTGGTTTGTTATTTAACTACACTTCAATTTGTATTTCTTTTTATTTCAGTGAACAACAGAACAATATTGAATACAGTTCTGACCACTACTCAGAACAAACTGACCACGAACTCTACGGTAAAGCACGAATGGTTTGAGAAAACCGTAAGGGCATCCGCTAGGGTTAATTCCAATCTGTCCTACACCCTAACCCAACTTAATCGGTAAGATTTTAACTGGCACAAAATATACAGGGAGTTCAATTGTTATTCCGTGGATATGGAGCAACTTCGATCTTTGATAGATCATAATAAATTACTTTCAGCAGCAAAAGAATATACACATCCAAAATTTCATTCAAATCGGGATAATGGTACTTAAAGTGTCTGAAAAAATGTGTTTATTTTCTTAAAGTTTCGTGCCCTCTAACGGACAAACGAAGCACTTTTTAGTAATTCTATATCCACGGAATATTCTTTGTACAGAGTCTATGTTTATTTTATAAATACTTGCGATAAAAATTGTGAAATTGATTTTCGACATGTTTGTTGCTATATGATTATTTATTGATAGTTTATTTAAATTTAAGACAACAATCGGTGGCTACCAGTGTCGAAGCGCTAGCTGTTGTCCATAACAAGCTCCAAGAAGTTCTAAGTACTTCGATCAATACTCTGATTCAAATTAGGAAAAATCTACGTACTGAATTTATAGCAGGTAAGAAATCATATATGAAGAAAGAAAAAGTGACATTTTGGAAGAGTTTAATTTTACTGTGTTTTTGATTTTGAAATATTCATTCTTTGAATTTTCATATATCTTACTGTATTGTTTTTAGGAATTAAGAATATTAAATTGCCCCCAAAACAACCAGTTCCAACAGCTCCGATTTTAGTCAAGGACGATGACGATGTGATATTTGTCAATCCAGCGGTTTCCAAAGCTCAAACTTTTCCCCCGCCACCTCCAGTAAGTATTTTAATGATGTATAGGTAAAAAACGACAAACTATAGGCTGCACTATAGGTGTATTGCTCCGACAGTGCTGCCACCAGTTCACCTGTCACTAGTTAAAAAAGTATACCATTAATATTGCCAAATTATATTTTTATATTATCATACTTTGTCTTTTAATTTTTTGATTATGTAACAAACAATTTTTTTTTTTTTTTTTTTTTTTTTTTTTTTTTTTTTATTTTTATTTTTTAGAGATCAAATCACGGTGTGAGAAACTATGAAGCTATAAAATGTTGTTTCGGGAAAGTTGAATATCCGGGAAAGTTTATTGTTATTGAATGTTATTGCACCTAAAAACGCCTTTGTTACGTTCTCCTTTACGCGTTGCCATTTTTTCGGCAATTTTATTAACATTTCCTTATTGTCACAACACAAAAAGACGTCTAGTTCGAATTATTTTCACTTATTTTTTACTACCGAAACAGCGTTACATCAGACAAACATCGTACCTGAGTGTTTATAGTCTCAATAACTTCACTAGCAAAAAAACTAAAATATTTATAATATTATGACCATGCAGTTTATTGCGATCGATATGACGGCGGCGTGAAATATATACTGATAATTTCTGATTTCTGCCGTTGAAGCGCTGCGGTCAGATTTTTTGAAATTAACTAAAATGCGCCAAGCCTATAGGCTTAGTGTATTTCAGGCAATCCCGACAGCACCGCTCGGTACGGCAGAAATGAGAACTGTGCGGCTAACTTTATATCACTCCGTTGCGATGATCGTTCATATCGATCGCATATAATAATATTTAAATCGATGGCTATGTTGTAATATTTAAGTACTAGCTTATACCAGTGACTTCGTTCGCGTCGAATTAATCATTTAATGGTAAAATAAATGAAATGGTAATGATAAAAAGTATAAGAATTTCCATTAACCTTACAAACTGAATAAAAGAATTTTCTCCGTTGTGTCAGCATGAAAAACAATATGGCGATATTATTATATAACTTGGTAATATTTGAGGGTGATTTCACATCACGTTGGAATTTGACTTTCGAAAATCCGTTTGTCAAAAATAAGCTTTTACGTCAAGTAGTTTAAGCAGAATCGTGTTTAAGAAATTACCCAACTTTGGAACACCCTATATGATTTTTAAAAATTTCAAAATGTATAAAAACCAAATAAGTATGCTTGTCCAAAGCGGAACCTCTTGGAATTTGAGATTCGAAAACCCACTCCTTAGCGAACCTCTACACTTACAGTCAAACCGTTTGCCAAAATCAGCTTTAAACGTCAAGCAGTTTAAGCAGAGATCAGTGATTACTCAATGATCATATTTTTTATGAAACACCTGTATAGGGTATAAAACTTAAAATATGTAAAAACAATAACAAAATAAAATAGTAGTTTTTTTTTTTTTTTTTTTTTTTTTTTTTTTTTTGAGTTTCGAAAAATCCTTCTTATCGAACCTCTACACTAAAGTCAATCTGTTTTCCAAAAATCAGCTTTTACGTCCAAACGCTTTTAAGCAGGATCGTGATTAATCAATGACCAGATTTTCGAAACACCCTGTATACATTTTAAAAGTCTTAAAATATGTAAAAAAACAAAATAAAAATATACGTGTTTAAGCGTTTTTTTGGAAACGACAGTTTTTTAAATAAAAATATTGTAATATTTGAGGGGTGGTTCACCCTCTTGAACTGGAATTTCGAAAATCCCGTCTTATCCGAACCTCTACACCTAGAATCAACCTGTAACCTGTATGCCAAAATTGAGCTTCTTACGTTGGTGGTTTGAGCAGGATCGTGATTAATCAGTATGTCAGTCACTTAAGGATTTTATATATTAGTATAGAGTGTATAGTGCAGCTAATTGAAACTGTAAAATTCTCAGGTCCGAAATTTGTGTGATGTAACACTGTATTGAGTTGTAAAAATTGAGTTGAAAAAGAACTCGAACTGGGCGACGTAGCTGGGTCGTAGCCTCCTTAAATCATGAGTTTTTCAGTGAAAATTTGGTGTATTTTTTACTTACTGTTTCAGCTCATTTCAACCAGTAGCGGCAGCTGCAACTAAGCAGATAACTGCGAGTGTTACGCTTGAGCCTAGGCCTAGTACTTCGAAAGCGCCTGTGCCAGTGGTTGAAGCTGATAAACCGGCCAGTCCTGTGCCAAGGGGCGGATTTTTAAAGGTATGTGTTTTTTTTTTTTTTTTTTTTTTTCAAACGTCACATAAGTAGGTATTAGTTTTTGCAACGTGACAATATAAAAAGGTAGGTACAACGCATAAGGCAAATTAGAAACGCTTTTTTACGCCTAGGTATAAAACTACGAAAATGTATTAAACGGTATATAAAGTGTCAAATTCAGCTTGAGCGTAGCCATAGTTTCTCGATATACAGGGTGAGTCTTAAACAAGTTACCAAATATTTTTCAGGGATGGTGTATTTCGACCCCAGGAACACGTCTATGAGTTTTTTTTTCGCAAAAAGATGTTGAAATTCGTGCATTTTCTTTTTAAAATTCCCTCTGTATTTTTTCGAAAACTTTAAGAACTTACTTGTTTACTGCCATTACACGCGGTAGGAGGTGTAGTTAGTAGATTTTCAAACCTAATTGAGGGTGATTTCTTAATGGAACGTCTTATATATTGTGTTTTGGGTTCCTCCGTTTAGTTATTATTAAATTCGTTTTCATAGTTCCAGAGAGACAAATAAATCAAATCAATCTACTTTACAGTTTTAGCGGCTTGCAAAATATCCTGAAATCAAAAATTATGCCACAGATTATAAACTTATTGTCAAAGCATTGTTTTCGTGGTTCCAATTTTTGAAGTCGCGCACTAATTAGGTTACCAGTTTGCGCACAAGCACGTCCACTTATGGCCTCTAAATTGTGCACAGCGCCTGACCGGCCCTCTTATTACTCTGGTTAGACGCGACTTTATTTTATTACAGGAAATTTTACTCGTTTGATCATCGTCATAAAAAATAATTTTCGTACCACGAATTAGGGACAAGATTTTTATCTGTATAGTATACCTAATCTGTGACTACGCTAGGTTTTTACTACAGTTTAGTCTGTACAGTCTGTCCAATGAGTAAGGGAAGATTTCGACAGATGACATACAAAAAATTGCAGAAAATGCAATTAACCTGTGAATTAAAATGACAGACACTGTCATAGATCCTCTCGTTGAACAGACTGTACTTACCTTATTACAAATGTCGTAAATTGTACACGGTGCTCAAAATATTTAATGTGGAAATTGATATCATACAAAATATGTTTCTTAATTTTTTTTTAAATGAAACACTGTATAGTTTGTCTAAAGCAAAGACATTATAAATATAGACCGAACATCTCATTCATAAATACTCGTTGGTAGTGTATCAAACATTCCAATGTGTCAAACAAGGACAGAAGAGACAGAGAAGTCTAAAATTTCCGACCCCGGCAACTAGGCGCATTTGGATTGTTCTAATGGCCAGTGGCGTATCGTTTTTGGAACGAATTTAATTAGTAAAAGTAAAAGTAGAGTAATTAGTCAAAATGTTTACTCCCATATTAATATGCTACGGTAACACTTTTTCGTCAGATGAGTTTGTTATAAGGTCTAATATAATATATAATTAATATCCCAGCATATACTCATGTTGAAACGTTAGTAGACAGTTTTCGAAAATCGCTCCAACGTTGATTTTGTTTAAAACTTTCAGTTAATTCTATATAAACTTTTCAGTTGCTTTTAGGAATATTTATAGGGTGACTCAGGCTTTCGAAACAGTTCTATATTAAGTTTGTGGTTGAATTTGACTTTTCTTTTCAATTTTTTATTCAGAATATGGAGGAAATGAGGTAAAACACATTTTAGACATTTTTTTTGTTTTTTTTTAAACATAGGTGGCCGGAACATATTTTCAAACTAAAGTTGTAGATTTGCCATTAAATTTCCATTTCAGAAATACCTAGGGTTGCCACCTGTCCTTTTTTGAAAGGACAGTCCTTTTTTTGGAATAACTTGTCCTTTAGACTTTTTTGACTTAAAGTCATTTTTAATAAATATAAAAAAAAAAAAAAAAAAAAAAAAAAAACAAAATATTATTTTCGTCCAAATTCAATTAGAGTTGTTATAAAACTTATAAATAAATTTTTCTTGATTTAGAATGAGCAACATTATTTAGAACTTCCCGTTTAATCTCAATGATAGTTTAGGTTTTAGTTTACCTTTTTTGATCTTAAAAGGGAACTTTAAATTAGTAATTAGTAACGATTTAGTTAGTTAGCAATCGATAGCTTCCTGTAAAGTACTATGTAATAGTTGTTTAATGTTGTATTATTAATAACTTCTATACCTAAAATCAATATTAATAAAAAAAAAAATTGTGTTTTTTGAAAATATAAGACAAAGATTTGACTCTTTCGGTCTTCTTCTTGTATTATGATATCTCTGATACGAGGCAATTACCTTTTAGTCTCTCAATAGGAGGCATTTATCATTAAAAGTATCAAATCTGTGTGCTACAGTATGGGATTTCTGTCGCGTAATAATGAATATTACGTTTATTTACAAAATCCATTACTTTTAAGGTAGCTTCATCAGACAATCAAATTTTACCCAGTTAAATGTCCCAATCTTCATGAACTGTATTAAACATATGTATTGCGGTTTGAATCACGCCGAGAATCACCCTGTATGTTGACAAAAATATTTTGAAAATGTGCGTTACAATGGTCCCGATCTTATGTAAAAATTGAAATAAGAATTAAACCTAAAACGTAATGGGTAAAAGCTTTTGGGCTGGGTCACTCTGTATATAGTTATGTATAAAACTAGTAGCCTAGAATTATTACAGTTCGTCTCATTCTAAAAAGATGCTTACCGATACAAATAATAACTCTAGGAAAGAGGTATTTGCAGTGAAATAAAGTGTTTTAAGCAAGGAGCCGAAGGGCAGATATAATAATGCAATAAAATGTAAAAGAGGGCGAGTAAACACCTTTGTTTATTTGTTGAGCAAAATTCCTTTAGAATATCGTATATATTGACCAAAGAGTGCAATTTTGAAAAATGTCGCTTTACGGCTTATAATGAAGTTCAAATGTAACGTTTATATTCAAATTTGTTACGATCTACAACAGTTAAGTAGTAATTGAGACGAATTATAATTCAATTACCGGCTACTACGTTCTTGTTTAATAGCTCAAAATTCAACAAATAGTGAAATTATTTTAATTGTGAGAGGCTCCATTGTGGGACGCCTATGTACAGCGATTACGGCGCGGCGGAAACAATCTACCTACCTGTGAAGAGACAAATTCGGGGAATTTGAGCTTATTTTTCCACACATTTGACACTGTCGTACTATATTGAAAATTCGCAGATTCAAAGTACGTTAAAACAAAAGCTTAAAAACACTGAAAAACACTGAAAAGTTCATTTCGGACTTGATTCCGACTTCAAACACACCGAAAGCTAAACGTAGTACGCTATAACGGACCAAGGGCTGTCGCGAGGGGTGGTGGGACGGATGGCTCATTTCATTCTGGAAGAATAGCAGCGACGTTGCCAATAGTGCCTAGACGTTTCAGCACATTAAGCAGTAAACATGTCCTTTAATAGTAACACATATATCCTCTGGTTAATAACATATTGCAGTAATAAAAACTGTACAAAATAAACTATTAATTTAATTAATTTTTTTATAAAATGTAAACAGTTCCCCTGTGGTTTTAAAGTCACCTTTCTGCAAATCAAACTAAGTAGATAGGCACAAATTTGAGATGTGGCAATGTCGCCTTCTCTATCTCAGTTGATTTTTACAGTACGTAGTCAACCTCCGATTGTTTGATCGGGTTAAAATGTCTAATGTGATATCTGTTCTTACTAAATCTATGGTCTAAAGAGCCAGCAAAGATTTCGACAGACAACATAAAAAAAATGACAGAAAATACAATTTACCTTTGAATTAAAGTAACAGACACAGCTTGCACTGTCATGGATTCTCTCGTTGGACATACTACTATACATACTTAAATTGTATAGGGTGCTCAAAATTAAATTATTAATGAATTAAAAAATGAACATATTTTGTATTTAAAATTATGTAATATTTTTTTATACAGGTTAGGTCATTTTCGGCTCTTCAAAACGTAACGTCCGAATGCATTACCATCCCCGATGATCCCCTACCTAAAGAAAAATGTCAGTGAAATCAAACAGGATCCACTTGTTGTCCCCCCAGAAATTAAGACGTTAGGTAAGTTTGCGTCTTTGTAATTGACAGGGATATAAAGAATAAATAAAAAAAAAAAAAAAAAAAAAAAAAAAAAAAAAAAAAAAAAAAAAAAAAAACTTTTATATTAATAAATTAATGATTTGAAAAAAGAGCGTCGCGGTAGCCATTTTGAAATGTTTTTTGGTAATTTCGTTTGACTTTTCTCCCGAGAAATTGAAATTTTTACTAGTTCATTACGCAAATTATTGTAAATCACTCTAAATAATGAATTGTTTCTACTGTATTTAATCCGGCAAATGATGGAGATAAACAATGTAGATTGATTAAAATTTTATTTTAAGAAGAATGTCAAGACATCTGTCTAAAAAAGATTTAGAGTGACAATTTGGTTAGGTATGTAAAATTCTAAAGTGATGATTTTGATTATGCCAAAGAATACATATTCTATGAGCTTACTGGTTGCCTAACGATTAACATTAGTTTAAAATATATCCCCAACATGAACAATGAACAAAACAATTAAACAAAACACAGACCACAGACCACACAAAAACAAATGGTTAGTTGCAGCTTTGAATAAGTAAAGATCGGGCGAAGTAGGAGCATAATGCTATCCATGTATTCATGCATGGTGGCGGAAAAGCCACCATAAAAGCTCTCTAGGGTGTGGATCCTTGACAGTTCTGTTTGAATATTCATTTGACACATTTGAATTTGATTTGAAATTTTGTGGATTTGTCAGTCTTTACGGAGCTTTATTTTATGGCTATTTATTATTTATTCGACTACTGATAGTTGTATAAAGGTAGTAAATCTAGATGGAAATTTGGTAGAACTTAAATTAACACTATCGCGATTTATCGAAAAAGACTTCTAAAATAGAAGTTGTCAGTAGCGTGCGGTAGATCTCGGCAAAATTGAGTGTGAAATAATGGAACACCTGCCAGTAAGTGATCGATATAATATACATGTGTAGTAAACCGATCACTTATGAAATTCACTTAAATTAATCCAAATTATATATTTTTTCTTTGCATTTTAGCTTTTATTTATTACTTGTCAAAGATTAGATGTCAAAGAATTTAGATATGTTAATTTGACTTCATCTGTTTCAGTAGCGTATCGATGTTTGTGCTAATACTTATTATAACTTATCTATTTTATTAGAATTATATATTTTTATAACAATTTTAATAACTACCAATTTATTCACAACGTAAAATAAAAACAAATTATTGAGTCTAACCCACGTTTGATACTCTACATCATAGTTTTACATTTTTAAAATAAAATCTAGGAAATCAGACACCGATAAACCGGAATTTAAGTCGGCCATATTTGAGGGCCATCGCGGTGTACCTAAGATTTTGATATGCTCCTTCCTTAGTCTTTATTCAAAGCAGTTAGCAGTAGTCAGAGATATAGATGTAGCAGTATTTTGGTGCCACAGCTACAGGCTACAGCCATGTAGCCATCCGCCAAGTGGATAGAATGACATACAGGTCCTCGAATCGTATTCCGGCAACTTCGGGCAGCATATTCTGCAGAAAAAATTAAAATAAAAAATTTTTTTTTTATTATTTTCTCCAATTGATTTGTGATGATTTGAGTTTCATTTTTATTTCATTCTTTTTTTAAATAATTCTATGAAGTAACGTGTCAATACTTGATTGGTATGAATGAAAATTGGTATCTGAGCTGGGTGACACAAGTACTTGATTTTGATGTCAAAATGACTCCTATTTTGTGGTTACCTACGTGGACTGTTTTATAATAACTTCGTTCGTACTCCTGCATAAAAGAACTGACTAGAAAATATACATTTCCATGGCGCATGTAATGTCTCTGCAAAATCGTTAGTAGTGAACTGCTCAAAGATATCGAATGGAACAGACACATGTCTTATTGATTGTAACAAGCACACGTTGAGTATAATAGTTATTTCACTGAAATAACAAATTTTTATTTTTTTAAATTAATCATAATTTTTTCTGCGAAAAATGATGATTAAACAGTTTCTGTTGAACTTTTGGCACAAACATATTTCAAATTTATGATTTCAGTCCAATAACTATTTAGTCAACATGTTTAATTTATGTCAATGATAACAGGTACTGATAATTTCAATTCCAAACATCTTGAGAACCATTACTCGTAGCGATTTTTACCAAGAAACCTTTTTTATGAAAAAAAAAATTGGAAATGTGTATTTTTTTACTCAGTAGTTTTATACAGGTATGGACGAAAAGCTGGCTATTCTTCAAACCAGTTCATACATATGTAGTAAGCTCCCTCTATAGGTAGGAGTCATATTGACATAAAAGACAAATTTCTCATGTCAAAAAACTCAAATAAACGACACCAATTTCCATGCAAATATTGACGTTACTACAAATTATTTGGAAAAAAATCGAAATAAAAATGAAACCTGCTGACCCTGTATCTCCGAAACCAAGATTTAAGACACATATTGATACGAACTTTTGACTTATTTTAATCACAGAATATGTTGCCGAAGTTTCCGGAATACGCTCCTGGACCACCCTGTATGTCCCTTAAACCCCTGCTAGTAACGGTATGATCGAAAAAACGGCAACCAGTTGGCTGGGAAATGAACATTTATTATTATTTCCCGCATAAATTTACATATAAATGACAGCGATCTTCTATTCCTATTATCGCCGATGTTTTTTCGATCATACAGTAGCTGTTAAGAAGTTTTACTTCAAATATGCGCAATATAGTGTACCCCTACAATTTTTTTTACCAGGATAATAAGATTAGAAGAAAAAACAAAAAAATGCGCTTTAAGTTTGAAACGAATTTTTAATTAAAATTGAATTTGATAATAGCGTCACTGTCTTTGATGACGTGCGCGCCAACTGTTATTCATTTCTCTATATTTATTGTTGTTTTACAGAAGAACCAAAGGAGGAGCCAGAGAAACCCGAAGCTGTTCCCGAACCGACAGTTCCAGAAAATCCGGCAACATCTCCGATAGACACTGAGAATTTCGTCTACAACGTGAATGAAGCTCCCAGTGCCGAAGTTAGAAGAATGATGAACGCCATCGTTCAAGTGAAGAAATCGCGTGTGATCGACGAAATCATCAGGGTACGGGGTTTATACAAAACTGACGAGGTAACATGAGCACATTGAGAATCTCCGTTCAACTGATGCCGCCAGCCATTATTAAGTTTCTTTTATTTCTTCCATGCGAATTTGTTACTGTAGAAGCAAGAAGGTTGTTGGGAATTATTTTTTGTACTTTGGGTGTCTTTTAAGATTAAGGAAGGAGCATTTCAAAAATCTTAGATCCATCGCGATGGGACTGAAATTCCGGTTTATCAGTGCCGCTCCTAATTTTCTTATTTAAAAAGTGCAAAACTATGATGTAGGGTAGACGTAGGGAGACCCAAGTTAATTTGTTGTTTTATTTGGCGTCGTGAATATATGCTGGGTAGTTACTAAAATTGTTATAAAAAATAGCATCAATAGTTATGATCATCAAAACGGTGTCTGTTGGCTGAAATGACGATCGATGCATTCCTATAAATTTATAATGACAGCGATCTTCAACTTCATAGCCATCGCTGACAACGCTTTTATTCGATCATACGGTAGATAAGTTATAATAATTATTATTAATACAACTGTTACGCTAATACTGAAGCAGGTAAGTTTAACATATGACCGTGACAGTAGTGTTAAAAAGCAAAAATACAAGAAAATTATATAAATTAGTTAATTTCAAGTGAATTTCATAAATGGTTTGTTTACTACACGTATGTATATTATATAGTCACTTACTAGCGAAAAGTTATTCAATTATTTCCCTCGATTTAAGCCGAGACTTACCGCACGCTACACAACCAACAATTTTACAGTCTTTTTCGATAAATCACAATAGTATCACTGTTAAAATTCTGCCACACTGTATTCACTACTATAATTTTTACATCATCATTGAAGTGGTGTGAACAAACACAACATTAAAATAAGTTCATTGTAAAGACTTGTCAACCCACAAAAATTTCAAATCAAATCTGGGGGCTCAAATAAATCGTCAAATAGAACTGTCAAGGATCCCTACCCTAGAGTCCTTTTTCCTCCCAACATGCATGAATACACGGATAACATTATGCTCCTTACTTAATCTTTTATTCAAAGATTTTCATAACGTATAATGGCAGACGTCTAAATATCCAACGTTACGTCATCATTATTTATTAAACATTTCGCATCCAAGCAAAACAAGCATCCGAAGCGCCCACAGCCTATGGCCTTTGCGAAATCGCCACGTCCGGAAAACTAGAATGTCCTCGCCATGGAATAGATAAACATATTTTAGTAACTAACGGATTTGAATAAGTTTATTTGCTAGCGCTGTTGTTTGTTAATTTTGATATTGATCGACACTTGTCAGCACGGTCATAACCACAGACGTGAAATGACATTTACTAGAAACAATATGCTGTGATTACGAAATGTCATAATGATGCCTAGCATCTGTTTCATTCCTTTATAACAAGAAAAAGAGAGATACCACATGTAAAATGAGGTAACACGAACATCTAATACATTTCAATATGAATTTACCTTTGAAAACTATTGCTTTCATTTACAGTAACAAATACTACTATTTTACCTTTGGGCGTAAGTCTCTTCTTGGTTTATAATAAATGAACTTATCTCCCACACATTTTATTTCGTTTGTTTTAATTGCTTATTACGATATTACTTCCCTGTTCAGTAGCTGAACCAAAAATGTGCACAAGAAATATTTCTTTATATTGCTTGAATTGTAATAAACTTAAATATCATAACTATTATGTCATTATTTTGGAAACGTTTTTTTTTTTTTTTTTTTTTTTTTTTTTTTTTTGTAGATTTTCTTCTGTATTTTTGAATCTGTAAAATGAATGGCCAGCAAGTTGAAGCACTGTCGTTATTCTGTTTTTTTTTTAGTAAGGTATTTGCAAAGAAAATGAATTTACCATAATAGATTTAGTACTGGATAATTTTTCTATGGAGTAAATGGTTTTATATTGTGCTATACCGGATGTCTCAGTACCTAAACAAGTTTTAATTTTCCATGATCGCCAGCGTACATATATTTTATAGGATATTTCAAATCTAAACCAAACTCCCTTTATAACAGTGCATCATAAGTTAAAGTTTTTGATTCAGTCTCATGTATACAGGGTGGGCATGAAAACGAAAAAGTCAAAGTGCTTTGATTTTAATTCAGGTATTTCGTTAGACCAGGTGTACTGGGACACCTGGTATATTAAACAAATTAAATAACGCCCCAAGTAAAAAACTCGAAAAATATATTTTTTTTTTTTAATTTTTACAAATTTCTAGGTTAATTAACGAAACAACAGTCTTGAAATCTTTGTCTAAAAGGAATGGCTGGCTTTCTATAATTATTAGTCATTTCAAGTTTATCCAGAACCCCAATTAGTGTTTCAATTATATATTACTTCAGCTTACGATCATTCACAATGTCTTAAAAACAAATTAAAATTTAATAGAATGTCCTAGCAACAGCTTGCGGTAACTTCATTTGTTTCCTGCCAGAGTTTCCAATGATTTAGCTTTATAAAACACAAACTTTTGATTTCTAACCACATTTTTCTCTTTACAGATGACAAATCGAAGGCCAAGATGACATTCCTCGCAAATTTTGAAGCATAATTAGTGGAAAAGCTGAAAGTTTGTTAACTTTTTTTCCACTACCTTGACGTTCTCGAATTGTTTATCTTGAAAACTAGAAAGTAACAAACTTCTACACTAATTGAAACCACTAATTTAAAAAGTTTTAAAAAAAAAAAAAATCGATTTTGAAATCATATTTTTATTTTATTTTTAGATATACGGTATATCATATTTTTAAACGCATGTAAATATCTAGGGTAATAGAATTATTCAATTTAATTATTTGCCATGACATTTTTATATCCCCTCTCTTCAAATTTCTTGGTCACAAAATGTCCAAGTGTCATCAAGTTCTTGAATGACTGTGAAAAATAAGAGGTAGTGTTTAAAGGATTTAGCATAAGTTTCGTTATGTTGTTTTTTTAATTGTTTAAACACAGAATTTAATAAATGTGTAAATATTTATGTTGCATTTTTGGCTTTACTGACTAGATTACCAAAATATCTATTTGAAATCTCAGACCAATATTATGATTTGTGAACCCATTGTATAAAATTAGGGGAACCGAAGATACAGGTGAATATCGAAAACGTTCCGCAAGGCATAACGCCAGGGTAATTTTTTTTTTCAGAAAATTCAAAAACGTCAATTTTGTTTGTAGGGGGGACAACTTTGCCCCAAAATGATTGCAAAATCTTCAACCCTCTAAGCAGGGTGTCATCCCCCAACTTTTCAAATGGGAAGGGGGGTCAAGTGATACCGCAATGAAAAGGACTTTCTATTCTCTATACTCCCGCCGTTTTTGAAAATCGAGTCGAGTCGTTGAGAAAATATGAAGGATTGAAATTTGAAAAGTTTATTTAAACATTTATCAGAGTAGATAGGATAAATTCCTTTGACCAATTTGTTGTTTTTTCTTATTATTTCTAGATGTTTGCGCTTTTTTCACTTGCCAAAGGTTGAACGATCAGGTGCGGTAGTTGCTAGATAGCTGTTCCTTGACTTGTGCGTTGAAGTTCTTCTCAATATCGTTAAACTTTTAACAATTACTTGGTGTACTCACTTGCAGAAAAAGGGGAAATAATCGAACTTTATTTTAAAAATAATGAATCTATCGGGTTGCGCAGATATTCAATGAACGCCATTCTGACAAACACCTTTATGGCAAAAAAATGTTCGCGAGTTAGTAACAAAATTTCGCGAAACTGGTTCCGTTATGAATAAAAAGAGGCCGAGGGAAAATCCTGTAGTAAATGAAGCTATAGAGGTATTCGTATTGGGCCAAGTTATCATGGATAGTACACTGAGTACAAGAAAAGAAGCTAATGAGACCGGCGTGAATCGTATAAGTGTCCAAAAGATATTAAAAAAACAAGTTCCACCCGTACAAAATTCAGTTGGTACAAGAACTCAACACTCAACCTTAGACGATTTTGATCGTCGCTTGCAATTTTATAAAACTAGTGAAAGAGTGGCGAATGATAATAATTTCCTTTTTAATGTGTGTTTTCGGATAGGTGTACTTTCTTTTTTGAAAAGGTGTAGTTAATCGGCACAACTGTTACTGGGCTGAGAACAACCACAGGGTTTTTCACGAGGTTGACACAAAACCCTCAGAAACTGAACGTGTGGGCTGGTATTTTTGAAATTCTATTGTAGGTCAGTTTAAATGATATTGAGAAGACTTCAACGCACAAGTCACAAAACAACTATCTAGCAACTACCACACCTGATCGTTCAACCTTGTAGCCAGTGAAAAAAAATGCGTAAGCATCTGAAATAACCAAGAAAAAATAGCAAATTGGTCAAAGAATTTATCCTTATCATTTACCCTGATAAATGTTTAAATAAACTTTTCAAATTTCAATCCGTCATATTTTCTCAAGGACTCGACCGATTTTCAAAAACGAAGCGGGGAAATATAGAGAATAGACAGCTCTTTTCAATGCGGTGCCACTTGACCCCCCTTCCCATTTGAAAAAAGTTGGGGGATGACACCCCCACTTAGAGGGTTGAAGATTTTGCAATCATTTTTGGGGCAAAAGTTGTCCCCCTCACGAACAAAATTGACGTGTTTTTGGATTTTTTGCAAAAAAAATACCCTGGCCGTTATGCCTTGCGGAACGTTTTCGATGGGCCACCCTGTATACAAACTAGAATGTAAACAGAAATATGCTAGGTTGCCACTTATTTAGTAAAAAAAGTTTATTAACCAATATCGTATACCGGGTGTATTTTTTGGAACAAAAAAAAAGTTCAAATTTTGAACTGTCCAATTATTAGTGACAGCTAAGTCACAGTAACAGATATTTTATTTAGATTATAGCTGCAAAAATTAGTTTAAACCGAATTTTATTATCGCTATATATATATATTGGTCACATTGCGCCGTGTTCAGCAATGTTGTCCTTTATTATTTGACAAATTATCCTAATGTCAGTCATTATTTTGTATAATATTGTGTTGTTGAATCTTTGTGAGCAATTTTCGTTTTTTTGCCTATTTTCGTA